AAAGCACAACTACAATGACGTGGGAAAATACCTGAACAAAGCTGAATGCCATACATGTAAGTACCCGCGAAAACAAGAAAACAAATATATATATATAAAGAGGCGGGGGGAGAAGGAGAGAGAGAGAGATTTAAAGACCTTAAACTTGTATTTAAAACTAAAGTAAGGATCGAAAAAAACTCATCCAGTATTGTAAATGTGTCAATCTAAAGGTTTCTACTTAATAGCTGAAAAGCTGTTGGCAAACAGTTTCCAAAACTGATTAAAAAAGGAAGTATGTGAATTTAGTATCCTTTCAAAGAGGCTGACTATATTTTTACCATGATAGCTATTCCATTGTCTCCCAGGGTTCTAAACCTGCCAGGGAATACTGTCTTGTGGTCTTGTTCAGAGGAGCAACTCTGTGGAGCAGGTTGTGGCTGATTTCATTTCCTCTCTTTGTTTCAAGAGGAATTATTAAAGAGATGGTCTACTTGCCATCTCTTCATTCTGCTGTGGTCGTCTGCTTTTTGCCATTTTTAGTCCTCCAAGTCTTCCAGAAACCCATGTTCTGTTTGGATCTAGATCTACACTTCTCAAGTGAAGGATAGTGATATGAACTGCAAAGTTTCACTTAAACACAGTACAAAACATCCATTGCTGGTTACTTCTTTCTGATGATACCATCTGGGTAGCTATATTGTTTGTATTTATTTATGTGTTAATTTATTCAGACTACCAAGTGCCCTATTCAGTTCCTCTGGTTCTACAAATTAAAAGAATCCATGATTATGCCTCATACTTTACTCTCAATAGTAGACTCTCAAACTAGTATCCAGTTTAAAGTAATACAAGCTAAGATATATTAATCATAGCATTTATTTGCATATAAACAATCAATATCCTGATGGAGATTTCTGGCTCACTGTTTATGAGATATGCACTAGTGCACACAATTCATTTTTTTCTTGACTGCCTCTTCCAATCAACATGTTGGAATGAACAATTAAATTGTTCATAAAACTTAGTCTTAATTCAAAATCAGAATTCTGTAAGTTATGTAAACCAAGTTTGTAAACCAAGGTTAGTTGTTGGTTTATGGTTCTTTCACATATAATCTTAAAATTCTTCCTTCCACTCAGTAGCTATAGTTGCTCTTGGAGGAATCTTGCCTTAATGATCTGACTGTATAAATAAATACAGGTAGTCTTCAAATTACGACCACAATTGAGCCCAAAATTTATGTTGATAAGTGAAACTTTTGTTAAGTGAGTTTGCGCCATTTTATGACTTTTCTTGCCACAGTTGTTAAGTGAATCATTGCATTTGTTTACATTAGTAACATGGTTGTTAACTGAATCTGGATTCCCCATTGATTTTACTTGTCAGACGGTCCCAAAAGTTGATCACATGATCCTGGGACACCGCAACCGTCATAAATATGGGCCACTTGCCAAGCATCTGAATTTTAATCACGTGTCCATAGGGATGCTGCAACAGTTATAAGTGTGAAAACTGGTCATAAGTCACATTTTGCAGTGCCATTGTAACTTTGAACAGTCACTAAATGGACTGTTTTAAGTCGAGGGTTACCTGTACACTCATTTATAATTAACCAGAACATGCTACAGTTCTAACTGTTCTGCATGAATGAAAGCAGTAATGTAGCTTTGTACATGAAATAGATTGTCAGTGTTCCAGCAAACCTCCATCCCAATCAGTAACTCCTAGACAAGAATAATTTCAAAAGTACCTTTATTGGAATAGCACCTGGCACGTCTGTGGAATCTTGAAACTAATGTTTCCCGTACTTACCACAATGTCCCAAACTACAATCCATCCATCATCACATCACATGGACCAATCACATCCGTCCCAGTATAAGATCCTTTTTCCCTGCTGCACCACACTTAATAACTTCGAACTAAGAAAAGAATTTTATTTTGTCTACTTAGAATTACTCAATTGAAATCACCGTCCTCCCACTTTCTCAGGCTATGTGGGAGCATGGAATATGGCTTCCAAAGTTGACAGAGTTATTTTCTCAATTAAATCTCTCTACACATTTGTGGTGAAGCCCACTGAATTTAATAAAATTTAATATAGTACTAAACATTCATAAGTTTGGACTAAGCAGCACTTTTATTTTGCATTGATAGCATTCTGCTGATATATATAATATTATTATATTAGGAATTATTATTATTATTAACATAACAGTTTAAGCAGGAAGGTAGATTCCTTGTTTATATGAATGTGAACCTAAGAGACCTTGGTTTTCTTAGTATTATAGGAAAAGATTGAATATTTCATAATAAATGCAATTTTTTCAACAGATTTTTACACAACAACAGAATCTCTCATTTAATTCCTGGGACATTTAGTAATTTGGAATCCATGAAACGACTGTGAGTAAAAAAAAAAACTTTAAACTTTGCACTTGGTATTTTAAACATTTGTGTCAGCGTTTTGAGTGAAAACTTCGCTTCAGAGTTGACAAGTTGTTTTATGAAATATCACATTTTGCTTTCCTTATCATCTGAGATTCAAAATTCCTGAAAATATTGGAATCAGTCGTGTTTATTCTGTTGCCTCTGAACAAGCAGCTTCTAAAGTTCACGTTTGCACGTATTTGAACTAGTTGGATTTAACAGAAGCATCATAGCTATAAACATGTTTCAACATTGTTTATAACATAAATGTATATTCTCCTTTTTTGTTTAGGATGATATGTTCAAAATTATTCCAACAAAGAAGACATTTCCAACCTTGAAACTTTATTTTTAACTTGCTGGAAATGTTCCAAAAATGGAAGGAGCATTTCAATTTTATTACAAAGTCACTTTGTTTTGATATTACAAGAAAACTGTTCTGATCATGAAACAGTGGTAAAAATTGTCAGGTTTGAGTAGGGTGGAATGTTTCAGCCTCAGTAGGATTTTCATAACTCTGATCATAACATGTAAATGGTAAGGATGAAGTTATTTTATTTATTTTATTTTATTTTATTCAGTATGATTCAATACAATTTAGGTGCTGCCTGATTCCAGACAGACTTTGGGCAGCCCACAATAAACAGATATCAAAAAGACAAGTAAACAAAAGGAAGATCTGGCTACTTGGCACCAAACCCATATGCCTAGTACATCCATCATGAGGTCCGTCCATCCTAATTCAAATCCTTGGAGAAGATCCAGCTCTTCAAAGCTTTCTGGAACATCATCCTGATGAGACCCAGATGGTCTCCAGAGGGATCTTTATTCCAGAGGGCATTTGCTGCAACAGAGATGGCACACCTCCTAAGTTCTTTCTCTCCTTTACTGAAGTTTAGAAAGTGACTGCACACCACCTACACACATATTCCAAAATGGCGCAGGTTTTGCTTTCTAATATCCCAAAGCCTAATTCAGAAAAGAAAGCCACAACCAAAGGAATTGGTTAGTTTTCACATGCATCTGTTTTGTAAGCTGACGTAAATCTTTGGGGACTTGGCAGCATACAAACACAATAAAGTAACTATATTTTGTACGTCCTGGCTTTTGAGTTTTTCTGTTCTTCGGTGAGGCATTGTAATGTGGTTAATAATGTGACCGCATCATAGTTCTCTAAACAAGAGTCATGGAACAAACATGTGCAGTGCTGAGCCTTGTAAGTAGAAACAGTGATGATCTCTTGTTTTATCCAGACGTCTGGATTCCAACGCACTTCACTGTGACTGTGAAATATTATGGCTGGCAGAGCTGTTAAAAACATACGCTGAATCTGGTCATGCGCAGGCTGCAGCCACATGTGAATATCCAAGAAGGATCCAGGGAAGGTCTGTGGCCACAATAACACCAGAAGAACTTAACTGTGGTGAGATTGTTTTAAAGTTACGGATATGCTTTCTCCATATTTTATGAGAGAGATTGTATATTTTAAAGCAGGGATCTTGAACCTTGATAACTTTTAAGACTTGTGAACTTCAACTCCCAGAATTCCTCAGCCAGGAATTCTGGGAACTGAGGTCCTTAAGTCTTAAAGTTGCCAAGGTTGGAGACCCTTATTTTAAAGCCTGTTATCTTTACTGTAAAATGCAAATTATACATATATAACATGTCTATGTGTGTGAATAAATCAACAAGTCATTAAGTCTTTTGATGTAAGAGGGGAGAAAACTACTGAATGTCTTTGGGGGAAGGTAAGTCCTTGCTTAGTGACCACAACTGAGATTAGCAGCTCTGTTGCTAAGTGGACCATGATAGGCTTACAACATCACTTCCTATTCAGTTGTTAAACAAATCCCACTGTTGGTAAGTGAGACATGATCACAATTTTACTGGCAACTTCTCTGCTTGTCAGAAGCTGGTTTTGAAGTAAGCAACAGCTATAAATGTAAGGATTGGCTGCAAAGCTTGTTTTTTTAAAAAAACACTGTGGTAACTTTAAGAGGTCACAGCAGTCAGTAAGGAGAACTACCAGGATAAAGGCTATATTGGAAAGGAAGGGATTTTTCTAGAGGAGGTTTGCCGGTTGTCTTTTACTCTGTTTACGACACAGTGTTTTACAGGTATGATAGCAGCTTTTAACATTAAAAAGTCATAAAAATTCAGATGGGGCAGAGAAAATTCCAAGCACTGTAGGTTGTCACTTTTGTGCTAAGTGGTTGCTTTTGGAGTTTGGTGATAGAAGAATAATTTTTTTCTGTTTCTCTTTTAACTTCTGAATGGTGTTTTTATATTATGAAAATATTCCATTGTGTCTTGTACAAAAGCTCCTCAGCAGCAATATCATTAAAGATAATGTAATGAAAAATTGAGAATTGTTGAGTGGTTCTTTTTTCCACTCTTCAATACCAAAAATAAACATTTTGTTACAACATGTCTTGTGATGAAGAGGCATGTCAAAAAAGGGATCCTAAAGAAATGGTGGAAGTGTTATCATATATAGTTATATACAGTTATATTATAACCTCTTCATTGTTTTCAACATCAAATTATGATTTATTCAATAATGCTAAGTACTCATCTAGGGCCAAAAGTTCTAATAACATTCAATTACAGAATATCTGAAGCTGGGTAATTGGACACGTTTCTATGGAATTGTATAAATTGGCAGATTCCAGTGTTTATATTATCACACCAATGAGAAACAGTGATTTATATCCTATTTTAAAATTAAGAACTAAACTGTTTTTAAATTCCAATTTTATAGAGCTTTCTTTTCATATGCTTTGTTGATAAATCCAGAGAGGCCAAGAATTACATCAGAGCCTCAGGATGTGGACGTCACCTCAGGGAATACCGTCTACTTCACTTGCAAAGCTGAAGGAAATCCCAAACCAGAAATCATTTGGCTTCGCAACAAGTAAGATTGTTTTAAATAGATTGTGTAAAATAATGGTTCAGATACTGTATTTGCATGTGCCTCCTGGACAAAACTGTTTCCACCTTTTTTCTTCGGTTTGAACATATTCATAATTGAAAAGTGGTAATGCTGCTGCTGTATTTCTTTCTCCGTAGTAATGAACTCAGTATGAAAGCAGATTCTCGATTAAACTTGCTTGATGATGGGACTTTAATGATTCAGAATACTCAAGAGACAGATCAAGGCATTTACCAATGCATGGCAAAAAATATAGCCGGAGAAGTTAAAACTCAAGAAGTAACTCTGCGCTATTTTGGTTCGCCAGGTAGGAAGATTTAGTAATGCCAATCTTTTTTTTTTAAATCTGTGCTTCCTGTTCAAGAGAGCTATTTGCTACTACTGCATTTATTTAGATTTTTCTCCCACCTTTAAAAAAAAGGTTTGGGCAATTTGAGGCAATGTACATATATTTTTTTTCTCACATAACGAACTGTGGGGTTGGATTATGCAGGGAGAAAGTGACTGTCTCGACTCAGCCAAATGGTTTTCCATGCCCAAGGGAAATTTGGAACTCAAACTCCCAGCTTCTATCTAAGCACCTTAGACATTACAGAATCACGGCATTTTATGTGCTGATATAATGGGCCTACAGATAAATTGTGAGATGGTTCAAAATATTGTAGCAAAAAAACCTTTTACTGTAAACCCCTATAATCCTTAGGACCAATTAAATTAAGATACAAGAACAAACAAATACCTTTGCTTTAATTGTGAGATAAGGTCTCCTTTCCTTTTTACTGTTGTATTACTTTTACTGGATTTGAGTCAGCTAGAAAGGAATACTTTTAGAGAAAATTGTAATAGAAGTGAAAGGTCATGCTATTTCTTCTGTCTAACTGTATCACACTGCTGAGTTCTTTGTTCATGATAAGCACGCTTAGTATGCATTCCATATTGTTGTAGCAAATTCAGTTGTTATTTAAAACCATTTCCTTTTTTTGGTGCTCTGTTTAATGTGGCAAAAATAATTGTACTCATGCAGTGTTTCCTAACCTTGGGAACTTTAAGAAGTGGACTTCAACTCCCAGAATTCCCTAGCCATCCTAAGTTTGAGAAATACCTTATTAATGGAAAACATTATATATAGACGTGCTCTCTTTTTAAACAGCTCGGCCAAGCTTTGTGATTCATCCACAAAACACAGAGGTTCTGGTTGGAGAAAGTGTCACCCTGGAATGTAGTGCAACTGGGCACCCCCAACCGCGTATCACATGGACAAAAGGTGACAGAACACCTCTGCCGAATGATCCACGGATCACCATCACTCCCTCAGGAGGGCTTTATATCCAGAATGTGGAGCAGGAAGAGGGTGGTGAATATACCTGCTTCGCAACCAACAGTCTAGATAGCATCCATGCGACTGCCTTCATTATTGTGCAAGGTAAGCAGCACTTTAAGAGGTGGTTTGGGTTTGAAGTTTATTCTGACCTCTAAATCATTAAAAAATAAATAAAGAATACAAACAGGATTTTCCCAAATAGAGTTTGTATTTCCAATGTATTCTCATATTAGTCGGCTAATATTTGGAAAGTAAAATTGCACATTGAAAGCTTTGATAATGTCCTAATGCTTCTTTGAGTGCTTGATAACAGTAGGTATTTTGCATATCATTATTGTTATCTTACAAATATATTTTGTATATTATCTGTGTGGGCTGTCAGGCTGGTTGTGATTATGTTGTTTTCTTCATAATATAATCTGAGTTTTAAAAAAGGGAAGACAGCGAGGTATTATGAACCCAAAGAAGAGTTTTACTCAGTTAAATCATTGCTAAGATACTTTTACTTTGGATTTTTGTTTTCATTTATTTTTCGTCCTAAGTGGTCTAATAATCATGGGTGATTGCAAATCTGCATGTGTTTAACCAGGTACGAAAGACTGGTAAGGGAAATGGTTCTCACTCCATAGTTCAAAGAATACAAAACAAAATATTTTTGTAGTGTATGTAGTCTAAACTGCTTTAATTATTTGTCTCCTTTTTACACAGCTGTACCTCAGTTTACTGTGACCCCTCAAGACAGAAGTGTGATTGAAGGACAGACTGTCGATTTCCCTTGTGAGGCACAAGGATATCCACAACCAGTCATTGCGTGGACTAAAGGAGGTCAGAATTTAGATTAAAATAATACTCAAGCTCAAAATACTACAGAGTAGTTTATCACAGCATGGAAATGTTGAAGTGATTTCTCTGATAGAGCAAAGTTGTGAATATTTATTTTCCTTGCTTATTTTTATCACTTTGGTGTGACTGAATCTAACCAAAATATTCACCTGGATTGATTAGTAAGGGAGGTTCAGAGGTTTGCATCTCTTTTGAAGCTTTTGAAGCGTCTATGGAGTCCTATCTTTTCAGGAGAATATTGCTGCCCACTCCATTTACTTTTAGAGGTGAACAGGTTTTCTCCAAGATTATGTCACGTGTTCCCTTTATCACACACTGCTCCTGTCTTCAGTAAACCATGACAATTTCTGAAATGAATAGAAGAAAAACGAGCGCATGCAGGTTTTCATTGTCTCAGTTTACTAACACTTACATGCTACATTATGCTGCATGTGAAATAGATTTTATTTAAGTACTGTATGTACTGCTCACTTTGCATGGATTCTTGGAAATGTATCTCCATGTTATTAATTTGATGGCATCAATTTTCAACAAGCCTGAATTTCATGCTCACAAGTCAGTAGACTGGAAGATACCCATCCTTTCATATGCAGAGGATACTGCCAATGTATCCTAACCTCTGGTCCAGATCAGAAGAACATGCAATCTGTCATCCTGTGTAGGAAAAATATCCTGCCCAATTTTTAAAAAAATCCAAAATCATGACTTGAAGTAAAAAAGATGAACAGAAAACCCAGGTTTCAAAGGACCTAAAAGTACCTTGAAGTATAAAAGCAAACACACTGTGCCTCTCAGGCAGTATAATGATAATTTGTCATTAGACACTTATTTTTCTTCAAGTTTCTGCCAGTCTCTTCAAATATTTTTAATTTTTTTTTTAGCGCAAACACCTCTGATCTTACAAGGAGTCCAGGTGGGAATTTGTATCACAAGTAATATTATGGAAATAGTACAAATAAAATTTTGAAAGCGGTTGTTACTGCCCCAAGATATATAGTTAACACTAATCTCTTACCTGAGATGGGGATGCCTAAAAAGATGTTATATCTCATGATTATTAGCTGAAGATCCTGTTGTTGTTTTACCTATTATTGCCCTTGTATTGGCAGAGAACCAATATTCAAGCTTTCAGCTCTAGGCTAATTAGAATTACTTTGTCACATGTGGGACACATCCACACCCACCCAGCCTCCCCACAACTCAGATGCCTTGATTGATTTATTACTGTCTGTATTAGATATGTGCAAGTATATTGTATGAAAAGAATATCAGAATTTGTGTGTGTGTGTGTGTGTGAAAGAGAGAGAGAGAGAGAATATTGATAACACTTTCTTCAGCAAGTATTTGAAAGTAAACAGAGGAGGGAGATATTCATTTGTGGTTATAATTGTTTTAGATCTATTGGTGACTTGGAGAGGATGGGGGAAGAAATTCTTAATCTCTTTCTTGTCAGCCCTGTCAGTTTTCAGCTGTTTTACAGACTTTCCAATTATCTTTATCCTTATTACCTTCTTGGATGTTTGAAATACACAGTATTTTTAGAAGTTCTGCCAGCTCCCAACCATTCTCTGAAGTTTAAGATAAGTCCTTGAGATGAACAGCAGATTCTGTCTGCATCTCTTCCAGTTGAGATAAAGAGAGGGCTTTGTAGGCCAATCTTCACAAACTTTCTACTTATCTCATATGGAATATGGGGAAAATCTTGTGTCCTCGGAGGATTACGATTAAGCTGTGGCTATTTACAAGGTCAGAAATCTCCACTTGGAGGCAGGATTCTCTATTTGTTCTCTCTTGGAGCAGGAGTTGAGAAGGTTGATCTTTAAAAACATATTTAGAAGTAATAAAGAAGAAAACTTCCCCTTGCTGTAGCATTAGTGGGATAAGTTGTCTGAAAGTAAGGAGAATCTTTTAGGCCATTAAGAAGCTAAGTTATTGTCCTCAGATCCATAGCTTCCTGCTTAAAATTTAACAGGTTTTAGGGGAATTAGTTTCCTCTGCCTAGTCAATGATCTTTATTGATGGAATTACGTTTGGTATGTGAACAGCCTTGAATGGGTTGGATGCATCATTTATTGGGGCATGGGAATAGAGGGACATAATGCCAGGTTGATTTCTCCAGTGATAACATTGCTGGCACCTTTCTTAGAAAGTAATTGAATCTTTTTAGGGAAGGTATTTTCCTCCAATATCCTAGTAGAAAACTTAAACAAAGTCTTGTGAATATTTTTTCCATCACCCCCTAATTGTTTTCTTTTTTCCTCTTTCTTTGTTGAAAACAAAAGAATACAAACACGAATTTGTCTGTCTGTTGAATGTGCAGTTCGTGGCTTCATTCTAAAAATTCTTATTTCAGGTAGTCAGTTGTCTGTAGATAGAAGACACTTAGTTTTGTCTTCTGGAACTCTGAGGATTTCCACAGTGGCTTTACATGATCAAGGACAATATGAATGCCAAGCTGTCAACATTGTAGGATCTCAAAGAGTTGCTGTCCATCTGAATGTACAACCAAGAGGTAAGCTTGCATAAGTCAATTTGCATATAATTCTCTTTTTTACATATTTAAGTATTTAAATTTTAAACTGTTTTTAAATGTTTCTTCTCTTTTGCTAGGACAGTGATGTAATTCTATTTTAAATGTAAAGGTTTGCTCTTTCTGCAGCTTACTTATATTTGTCATACTGTAACTGTGTTGATTGTATGGTAGTTCAGTTGTTTCAAAGATCTAACACATGACTTTTTCTTCTTGTTGATACAACAAGACTTTGTTTTCATACAAACAGAAAACAGCATTTTGTTTATTGAAATGAATTGACTAAACTAAATATGCTCTAGGAAAGGGTCCCCTAAAATGGATAAAAGAGGATTGTAGAGGGGAAACTAGAGGGTTAATATCTCACCCCTTATTAGTACTCTGATCTGAGCCAGGTTCCCAAGCTTCCTTTTGCATACAGTATGATATCTCTGCTAATTGCATGTTTAAATAAAACTTAGCTGAAATCCAAAATGCAGCTATTATTGGGTGGATAGAGAGCTGAGGAACAGATAAGATTGTATGTGGAAAAATAGGAACTTCATAGCTGTTAAAGCATAACATCCTTGTACTAGGAAAGGAATGTTGGCATTGAGTTGAAAAAATTGGCTTAAGAAACTAAATGAAGAAGTCCCTATCCTGAATCAAGTCTTTGTTTGTTTGTTTTTAATAAAAAAATTTATTTGGATTTTCACAAAACATAATACAACTAAAATTTCTTTTTTTGAGAATAGCATGGCCCCGGGTTATCACTTCTCCATACAGACACAAATTCAATTTCATATTCATCTTTGTGTTCTATTCCATATCTTATTACTATTCTAACATTTTCTCAATAATTTTTCCCTTCCCTTAATTTTCTCAATCTTACTTTTAATTATCTCATTCCTTTCTAAATTCAATTATATATCTTTTTCTAAGTTTCAATACCTTTCTAGTCATTATATTTATACTTTTATCTGTCCTGTTTCAATTTCATATTTTCTTTTCTCATTAAACAAAATTTTCCCCTGTAGTTACTAATTGGAGTATGACACCTTTGTATCTTTAAATTTTTATCCATTCAACTCTTGTTTAAACTTCAATTTATGCCTTTACAATTATAACATTCAATATAACACATAACTTCCAGTCGAATTCTGCCTGGTACATTCTTAAAATATGCACTAAGTTCTTAAAGAGAAAATATATGTATATAACAATAATAAATAAAATACTTATTCTATTCCAATTCAGCTCTTATCATTAAAGTTAGTTATAATCTTTAACATCTTTAATATTCCTTTTCAATAGGATATCATACTTCTAGGAACACTTACAATATTTCCATATTTTTTTCATGTTTCTTTCATATTCCTCTTCACTTAAATTTTTATAACACATTTATAATAATTAAAATGTTCCCCTCCTTTCCTAATTTCATTCTTTCATTCTCTTTATTTCATTTATTTATTAAACATTCCATTACATTACAATGAGTATTTTATCTATCATTTTAATCACACTTGTTTCATATTTTCAAAGTTCATTTCTATTTCTAATATAACAATACTATCTTATGTACCCTTGCAGAATGCCCCTTTCAGTTAAGTTTTCACCCATTATCTCAGTGTCTTGTACATTTTCCATTTCTCTATGTCCTGATTCTGTCCTTTATAATTTCTTTTCCTTTCCCTCTTCTTCTCCCTTCCCCTTTTGACCCCTTCTCTCTCTAATTCTGATTCTCTCTTCTGTAACCCTCTCTTCTGTTTCTTCCTAATGTTATAATTACTTTTCAAACTATTCTTTTTTGGGGTTGTTTTTTCAGATCTTAAATTTTTCACTCTCTTTCCCCACTTTCCTTTCTTTTCCCCACATAGAAATACTTAGTCATTGAAGATGGCTTCTTCTTTGTCCTGCCCTTCTTGTTCTACAGGCATTTCTTGTTGTTTCTCATAGTTCAGGATCTCCATTTCTAAAAATTGAAATATGAAGCCAAAAGAATCTCTTCCTTCTTGTGCATCTTCTTTCTGTTTTTTAAGTTCCATTCTCAATTCTTCCAAGAGTGATACCATTTTAAAAACTTTTAAACAACCACCCAATTAATTTTAGTGCTTTAGATCCAATAGCCAAAAATCCAAGAATCACCAAGTAATCCAAATAATCCAAAGCTGTTTCTTCTGGCTTCTTTTTTCCACTTTCTTTTCCTGGGGTTCTCTTATCTTGTTACAAAGTTTCAGTTAAAATGTATCTTTTAGGAATCTTGTTAAAGTTTCACTGTTAATTCCTTTCACTTCCAGGTGATCTCCTCCCTTTTTCCAGAACCCACCCTTTTGATTTTTTTCCTTCTTTTAAAAGTTTTTGAGAATCCAGAAATCTTTATTATCGCTTTGACATTTTATTTTCAGCTTAAGTACCTTTAATGTCAAAGTGGATTTTTGCCGATTTCTTGCTTAAATCTCTTAGTTGTCAATATAGGTAAGAAAAGAAAAAAAACCAAATTCTTTCCCTTCCCTCTCTCATTCGCAGCTTCGAAGTCTTCTTTGGGGACAATGTTGTTCTTTATAATTCAAATTCCAGTGTACCTTGTATTGTTGTTTTTCCAGTTCGACCTGGTCAGCCAAAAACTTTCTCTTCTTATCTTCCTCCTGCACATTCTTTTCCAGTAGAGTTCTTCTTTGAGGTAGCCATTTCTGACCATTGCTGCAACCAAATTCGGGAAAACAAGTAATGGCCAGCTGGGGAGGAGAGATGCAGCTCTCCTCAACCCTGCTGGCAGTCTGCCCCTCTTCACCACCTCTACGGGGTGGCTTAGCCCTGAAACCAGCCGGCTTGGGGTGTTCCAGCGGTGAGCACAGATCGAAACTGCGCACAATCGCAGATTTCAGTCTGTCGCCGAAGAAGCTCAAACCGCTGAATCAAGTCTTTGGAATGAGTTCATGTTCGTGTTTTATATAATTATAAAATAAAATATAATTATTATTCTGTCAATAGAGCTGAAAATTTTTTATTCAATCCTTAATTTTACATAAATTATATTCTGCGCTATATATTAATAGTATGATGTTGTTAGACTGAAAACTACGTGATTATGATTTGAATAAAAATTGTTTATTTAAAAAAAAACGTCAGCTTGATATTTCCTTCTGGGAATCTTTCTTTTAGTAACTCCTGTGTTTGCTAATGTTCCAAGTGACATGACAGTGGAAGTGGGTACAAATGTACAAATTCCATGCAGTTCTCAAGGAGAGCCAGAGCCAATAATAACATGGAATAAGGTACTGCATGCCACTTTCATATTTCCTAACTTCCTGCAGAGGTCAGTCTGTAAAAAGAATACGTTTGCTTCTTCTCTGTATAACATGTTACCTTTCCTTTGTCTGAAACCACCTATTGTAGAGGTTATTCAAAAGGCAGTGAAGTTTTAATTAAGAGGCTACTTGGATAAGAGAAGTGTTACATTGAAAATCTAATTCCTTCCAATTATAGGTAATCCTCAACTATGACTACAATTGAGCCCCATTTTTTTGATGCTAAGTCAGAACATTGTTAAGTGAGTTTTTCCCCATTTTATGACCTTTCTTGCCACAGTTGTTAAGTGAATCATTGCAGTTAAGTTAGTAACACAGTTTTTAAGTGAATCTGCTTTCCCATTGACTTTGCTTGAAAGTCACAAAGAGTGACCCCAGGACACTGCGACCACTTGAGACTTTCAAGAAGAGATTGGACTTCCATCTGTCAGAAATGGGGTCTCCTGCTTGGGCGGGGGGAGGGGGGGGTTGGACTAGATGACCTGCAAGGTCCCTTCCAACTCTGATTATCTATTATCTGTTAACCATCATAAATATGAGCCAGTTACCACGCATCCGGATTTTGACCTTGTGACCATGGAGATGCTGCAACTGTTGTGTGAAAAACTATCATGTCACTTTTCAGAGCTGTTGTATCTATAAGCAATCACCAATGAATAGTTGTAAGTTGAGGATTGCCTATATACACAGATATATACAGTGCACTAAATTTCAGTAAAGCGTTAGGAAACACTGTGTATACCCAGGTAGATCTGAAAAAAAAAACCTGTTCAGATAAATACAATACTAAAATACAGGTTTTTATTCTATGGTGATTGTTGTGGAAAGCTTGAAGGCATTGTTTTTCTACACAAAGCATATATGCAAATTATATATAGATAATCCTGGATTATGACAGCCTTGGAAAGAGTGCTTCCAGCTGTTATAAAACTTGCCATTCCCCTCTCCCCATGGCAATTAGCTCACATTTATGATTGGTTGCCGAGGTCCTTACAGTTCATATAATTGCCATTTGCAAGCAGAGGGGATGGAGTGGAGCTGGAATTCTTCCTCAGTCCTCTAAAGCAGTGGCCCCCAATCTTTTTTGTGCCACGGCCCGGTACCGGCATCACAAAATGATCCACGGCCCAGTACCGGCAACAGCACACATGACAAGGCAAGGCGAGCCGAGCGACCGGCCAGCCAGCCGTCCCACGCTTCTCCCCGCCACCTTCAACTCCTCCTTTGTACCTTTTTTGTGCTTTTTTGATCTCCTCCGCCATTGGGACGGCTCTTCGTTTGAAGCGGCCCCCCCTTTGATGAAACTAAGACGTGAGGATTTCTTCAGGACCCAAATGCTGCTTTCCAACCGGAAAAGCTCACCCAGAAGCACTTTCTGTCGAAACAAGATGGCGGCGCTCAGCAAACTGGCCGCCCAGTAGAAAATGATCCACAGACCGGTATCGGTCCGGGGCCCGGTGGTTGGGGACCCCTGCTCTAAAGGATATTATTTCTGTGGACAGAGAGGAGCTGAAATCCTTTGGTGGGCCAAAGGAACAGAACTGGAATTTTTAGGATTTCAGCTCCATGCACCTAAAATTTTGAAGTTTCCAGCTCTGTTCATGAAGCCCACCAAAGGATTTCCCCTCCAAGCATGGAAGGGAGATGAAATCCCTCAGTGGGCTGCAGGAACAGCTGAAATCCTGAACTGCATGTAGGGGGACGGGACGGGACTGAAATCTTTTGGTTGGCTGGAGAGACATTTGAAAGTGAAAGGGCTGCCTGCCAGGGGGATTTCAGCTCCATGTGGAACTGAAATCCTTCCAACAGACAGATCTTTTGCTCTCTCCACTTAATGACCCAAGAGATTGCTTAAGAATTGAAACAGAGAGTGCTGGGATTATGGTCATTGAGCAAAGCAGTCATGTGTTTTTTAACCACTTAATCAGGTTCCTTTCGTGGCCACAAGTCGAAGACTACTTACAATATATCTCAAATAACTGAAGTATAAATCTGTAAAGTTGAGGTAAATTTGTATTTCTAGTCTATGGCAACAACTTAAATCAACTTTTCAAAGGCCAGACCTGCATAACTTAATAACCAACAAGTCAAGTGTAAGTTTTCAGCAACTTTTGAGGCTCTTTATAAACTCTCAAAATTGAGTCCAAACTTAGTTCTGCCTAGCATAAATTTCCTAAAGGCAGTTGGATTCAGTCAGGCCTAAGATTGACCGTTAACTTAAACGAGTCTCCTCTAAGCATTATCAAATCTGGATGCAAAGCACTGAGTAGAAACCAAGAAGTCTACTCATGTGATAGTATTTTTTTTTTCTTTTCTCTCCTATTTCCACCATTTTCTTTTGTATGGTGTATCTGCTGCAGAACATTTTCTCCTAAAGGAGCATATTTGGAGGGTGTATTCTGGGATACAGGAAGAAGTGAGGAATCACATTTTTCTGTTCTGCAGAAGAGATAGTCCCATCAGTGGTGTTTACTGTTTTCCTAGGAGACCTTACAATAGTCTTTCTTAAACTGTTTAACTCAATTACAACTTTCTAGTCTTGAATAATATAATTACACCTCCAAAAAAGAAAACAGATTCTTTTTCACGAGCTTCTCATCAGTGGCAGCCCCAAACTGGATCCTAAATAACAATTTGAAATTGCTCCATTAACCCCAGGATATATCCAAATTACCCCATGTTTAAAAACCACTGCCTTAGAACATGGCTAGGCTTTGAAAAATACAGATTAGGTATATGAATCAAGAATTCCTTACCTTCTAGAGTTGGAAATTTAAATTTTCTTTTGACCAAATTTAAAACACACACACAAATTTTAAAAAAATCAGTTCTTCTAAAACACTGCCTAAGTTATGGAATATCTTGGCTTTTGATTGCTACAGGATGGTGTTCAGGTGACAGAAAGTGGGAAATTCCATATTAGCTCTGAAGGATTTCTTACTATTCGAGATGTTGGCCCGGCAGATCAAGGCCGTTATGAATGTGTAGCAAGGAATACGATTGGATATTCCTCAGTTAGCATGGTACTAACTGTGAATGGTAAGATTTATACATGAGAATAGACAACTGCAGATTAAATATTGTGTGCATTGAATTGAATTATTAAAAGTTATCAGTGTAATGCATAAGTATTTTGGAGGAATACTCCACTTAATAATCACTTCTCCTTTAGTAATTATTATTTAATAAAACTCATAAAGTGGCACTGAGTAACATGTTTGTTGGTTGCGAGTTTAAATCAAGGACAGATAGACTAATACTAAAATAATTGTTTAATGGATAATTATTTAATGTTCAGTGTAACTTTGGGGAAATTATACTTACCAATGGACACAAAAATACCAGAGATTTTGTTGGCAGAAAAAGTCTCATTTTAGCAATAGCACTTAGACTTATATACTGCTTTATAGTGCTTTACAGCCCTCTCTAAGCGGTTTACAGAATCAGCCTCTTTCCCCCAACAATTTGGCTCCTCATTTTACCTACCTCGGAAGGATGGAAGAGCTCAGTCAACCTTGAGCCTGGTGGGATTTGAACTGCCAAATTACAGGCAGCTGATAGTCAGCAGAAATGGCCTGCAGTACAGCATTCTAACCACAGTTGCCACTGAAACTCTTTTTTTTCAACATATTCCTTTTTGTACTTTCTTTAGTCTAGAGCAAGGGGTTATTAAACTCCATGGAAATATTTTGTGGAATCCATGAACATGAATGGGAGAAATGTCCCAACTTTATTTTTGTCACTAACTTCACTAACTGGAATTTAGTTTGTCTTCTTATTGATTTATTTAAAAAAAAAAAAACCCACTTATATAACACATATATTTAGTTAAAAATCCACCTATATTTACACATAGTAAATATTGCATATTTACTATTTTTATATTTAGATCTTTTTATTTAAGAACAATTAGTTTCTTTTGTAGTACAATCTAGTTCAATGTGCTTTATTTTATGTTTTGGAATATGTTTTAATGAGAATGGATTGGAGGGTTTAATCAGACTCTTAGAGATGGCATGACGCAAAAAAAAAATTATAGACATAAAATATGTAAGTTCTTCTCATGTTAGGGGCATGATGGGATAATGGCTGCAATTGTTTTTCTTTTTTAATAATGGCAGCAAATTACTAAGAGTGAGGAAAACAAGAACATTATGCTATTGAATCTTATATTATTTATCTAATAGTATATCAGATAATAATATTGCCATGCAACAAAAGGTTGTAGTTTATATTTGAACCTAAAATGTCAGCCCTCCTGATCAATCATTCTTTTGAAGGACATTTCAGCTCCAATTCTCCACAATACATATCCTGTAGCTAGAGAGCTTACTCACTCATTTTGATTGTTCTGAAGAATTTTTTTTCTGGAAAATAAAAAGGAAAGTGTATTTTTAAATTATGGTTGTGACTTTTCTCCTAGAAAATTTTGTAGCATTATAACATTCCCACCAGATGAGTAATTTTACAGAAAATTGTAAATAGAATTTTATTTTTAATACTAAAATAATGTTATGTCTAGACTTTGCCTATCTGTGTAACTCTGAAAAAATGTTTTAATTCCCCCTTTTTCTTTTTAGTTCCTGATGTGAGTCGAAATGGAGATCCATTTGTAGCAAGCTCAATTGTTGAAGCTATTGCTACTGTTGACAGAGCAATAAACTCCACACGCACCCATTTGTTTGATAGGTATTGTATATATAATTGGAAGGATTTGTTTACATTATAATAATATATTGGTTGTCTCTTAATTACCTGATTACTTTACTTGATCTTGACCTGGCATCTCAATACCCTAATTCTTACAATTGTTTTAGGGTTTTTTTTCCCCAGTTTTCTATCCTTTCACAAATATGCCAGTTAGGTATTTGTGTAACAGATTAGACGACAATACTCTCTTTTCCCATTGGGTGTTGCAACTTTCCTTCTTTATGTCTTCTGGGTATTTCCATTGGGTCATAACCAATTGAAATGGAGGCCAGTTTAAAGTGAAGGCTGCTAAACATGTGGGAATGAAAGTTATTCCTTATTACTCCTTGATGGCTCCTCTTAGCAGCTGTCAAATGCTAATTTTTTAAAATCTTTTTTTATTGGCTTGCAGTACGGGATAATTACTTGAGGTATGTACTTGTAAATTGTTTAGAGATGTTTAATATAAGCATTATTACTAAACTTTAATAGCATCAGGATTAAAACAAGAGTTAACTTAATCTGATGCTTCTAAAAACTAGGTTTATTTTTTGTCTTTTTGTTGTTAATGTATTAGTCGCCCTCGATCTCCAAACGATTTACTAGCCCTATTTCGATACCCAAGAGATCCTTACACTATTGAACAAGCAAGAGCTGGAGAAATATTTGAAAGGACATTACAACTAATTCAGGAACATGTACAAGATGGTTTAATGGTTGACCTTAATGGAACAAGTGAGTATTTTTCTTTTGCATACTGTAAGAGTACATGATATGAGGCCAGAGTATTTAACCTCTTACCCCCTCTCTTCTCATCCCGAGTTGTTGCTTCTCTGTTGTGAATGTATATACAAGGTTTGATTTCCTATGATCAGAGCCAGATTCCAATATATTCTGTGGCCCATTGTGTGACAACGGATATGTATGTAATTTCATATCTTTTTTTCCTCCTCTCTACTGAATATAGTGAGAGAAATGTTATCCAGCAGTGCTTTTTCCATAAAATTCTGCCATCAAATGTGCAGTCACAAATAAATGTGTTACATGATTTGGCATAAGCAACTTTTTCCTTTTCCATTCTTGTCTCTTCTCATTTTTGTATCTGATGAGATTACTGTGTCATCATTAATTTTGTGTAACATGTCCAGTCTCCTCAATTAGCATCTGACAAATAACCATTTTCTGTTTCATGTTCCATTGGATCTGCACCCTATCTCTAATGTCAATCAGGAGATCTTGAGTTCAGAATTGTTCTATAGAATAAGTAAAAGTCAAAATAGATTTCTAAAAAATTGAGTGAATCATAAATTTTCTGTGATCGAAACCACTGGGTAAAGTATAAAAAGGGGCCAGCTGCCTTAAACTGGGGGATTAAATTATAAATACCAGTGCAATCAGAAACACAAGGGAAGTGAAACAGGGGGTGGGGAGAGCAAGATGAAATTACAGAAAATAACCAGAAGCAAGGATTGTGGTCTTCAAGACTAGATTCTCACAATTGGTAACAATGTTCATCTCAAATGAAAGAAAAATAAAATAGTTCTTTCTTCAATCTGCCATTTTATTGGGAAAGCCCAAATAAAAATAGATGTTTGGTATTTATAAAAGCAATATCAGTTTTTATCTTGGTGTTATGTACAAGCATCCAGTGTTTCAAAAATAAGCCTAAGTGTTTCAAAAACCAAGCCTTGCTATATATCAGATGGAATCTCTAGGATGAGTCTAATTTGGATTTTTCTGCTCAATTCTAGAAGCAGTAGAAATTAAAATTCAAAAGCAATTATTTAGTCATTCTTCCATTATCTGGCTGTTCTCTATACTTCTGAAATGTGTTGCAAAGAAATGAAACTGACTTGATAAAACAATCTAGTGTTATTAACCAGATTTAGCATGTGAAAAGAAGTATCTCTTGCTTAGCATTTTTCCTGTGTTTTGACTGTTTCTACAGCTTAAAACTTAACTTCAGATTCTAGATTAAGAAATGTGCAAGATTTGTGAGCATCTGCTTTGTCAATTTGTAACATCACCCGATTGAGTAACATACGTTTCCAAGGATGTCTACAGCTGAATAGATCATATATGCAGCTATTTATCACATGGTTGTTACATATACAAATACCAAAGCCAAATTGGTCAGAATATATTTGACTAGTTAAAACAAAATAAATGCACCATTCAACAGTTTTTAAATATATATATATAAAATAATGCAATTTCCTTATTAAATAATCACTAACATTATTGACGTTAATGTGTATTAAAAGATAATACTCAAGTAATCCTGCCAAAAACTAATTTCAGGTTTAATACTGCTCATTTATTACCTCATGATAGCTAGATTTTAAATCCCTCTTCAGTCTTCATCATACCCATTATGCGTACTCAAGCGCAGTATAAGGAGCCCGATAACAAGGTTTGCTTGGCAATAGAGTTATTAACTCCGGGCAGAAATCCTTTACATTTAAGTAAAATTGTGGATCAGTAAAGATCTTGCCTATTTTTAAAAAGTGTGTGTAGGGTATCATTCTGTCCAGGAGTTTTTTTACATCTGCAACATTTCCTAACACATTCTTCCAGTAATTTACTTAACAGTCAAGAAATTAATCTTCGCTGCAAAAATACTTCTGAATCACTGCTTTCTGGCCAATTTCATAGCATTTTTTGAACAGTCTTAGCAGAGTAGCAATTTTATAAGCCACTGTTTTTATTCTGACTGTCAGCTAGTTAAAGAATTTTGATTGATCAGCCATAGTCTTTAAACCAATCAATGGATTACATTAAGTAATGCCTTTTGGGATATCATCAGAAATTAAACTTCAGAAATTTCATACTGGCTTCCATATTTAGCTTACACACCAAAATATTTTTAATTTTTCTTCTTTATTTCCTGTTACTCTATGATCTATAGAACTAAAAGACCTTAAAATACAGAATGCATGCTCAAAGTGATCTTTAGCCAGTCATTCTGTCTGCTTAATAAACTGATAAAAATGTATTTGAGGTTTATTTCACTACTTTTAATAGCACTGATTGATTGATTTGATTTTTATCCTGCCTTTATTACTTTATGAGTAACATATTTTTCTCTCTTTCACCTGTTTTAGGTTATCATTATAATGATCTGGTATCCCCGCAGTACTTGAATCTGATCGCTAACCTATCAGGCTGCACTGCCCATAGGCGTGTGAATAACTGTTCAGACATGTGCTACCATCAGAAATACAGAACACACGATGGCACCTGCAATAATCTCCAGCATCCAATGTGGGGAGCATCTCTAACGGCCTTTGAACGAATGCTGAAATCAGTCTATGAAAATGGTTTTAATTTGCCAAGGGGCATCGGACCTAATCGACGTTACAATGGACATACGCTCCCAATGCCACGTTTGGTATCAACTACGTTAATAGGGACTGAAACAATAACTCCAGACGACCAGTTCAGTCATATGCTAATGCAGTGGGGCCAATTCCTGGATCATGACCTTGACTCCACGGTGGCTGCCCTAAGCGAAGCCAGATTTTCAGATGGTCAGCATTGCAGTTCAGTTTGTACCAATGACCCTCCGTGTTTCTCTATCATGATCCCACCCAATGACCCTCGAGTCAGAAATGGAGCACGGTGCATGTTTTTTGTACGTTCCAGTCCCGTGTGTGGAAGTGGCATGACCTCCCTTCTCATGAACTCTGTCTACCCACGAGAACAGATCAATCAGTTGACCTCGTACATCGATGCGTCCAATGTATACGGCAGTTCGGAGCACGAAGCGCAAGCGGTCAGGGACGTGGCAAGCCACAGGGGCCTCCTGAGGCAGGGTATTGTGCAGAGATCCGGAAAACCTCTCCTTCCATTTGCGACTGGCCCTCCAACAGAGTGTATGAGGGATGAGAATGAGAGCCCAATTCCCTGCTTCTTAGCTGGAGACCATCGAGCCAATGAACAGCTGGGACTCACCAGTATGCACACACTGTGGTTTCGGGAACACAACAGAATTGCTACTGAATTACTGAAGCTGAACCCACACTGGGATGGTGATACAATATATCACGAAACACGTAAAATCGTTGGTGCGGAGATGCAGCATATAACCTACAGCCACTGGCTGCCTAAAATCCTGGGAGTGGTAGGCTTGAAGATGCTCGGCGAATATAAAGGTTATGATCCCAATGTTAATTCTGGCATCACCAATGAATTTGCAACTGCAGCTTTTAGGTTTGGACACACATTGATCAATCCCATCCTCTATCGGCTGGACGAGAATTTTGAAACTATTCCGCAGGGCCATATCTCTCTCCATAAAGCTTTCTTTTCCCCATTCCGGATTGTAAACGAAGGAGGCATTGATCCTCTCCTTCGGGGGTTATTTGGCACTGCTGGTAAGATGCGTGTGACTTCTCAGTTGTTGAACACTGAACTGACGGAGAGACTTTTCTCCATGGCACGAGCAGTAGCTCTAGATTTGGCTGCGATGAATATTCAGAGAGGGAGAGATCATGGAATCCCACCATACCATGAATTTAGAGTTTACTGTAATCTGTCGTCCACACACACATTTGAAGATCTAAAAAATGAAATAAAGAATCCTGAAATCAGAGAAAAACTCAAACGGTAAGCTCCCAATGTCAATGCTATTTTTATTGGTAAGTTATTGAGGTGTTCTAACAGAAAGGAGAAGCTAGCTATTCATGCCAGAACTGTATGGTGCATAGGTGAAACTTCCCATATATTGGTTTCATACATATATTTCAGAAGGAGATCCAAATCCATTTTTTATTATATTGGGTGAAGGCTTTAATCTTCTCATATACAGATAGTCCTTGACTTATAACCACAACTGAGCTCAAAATTTCCATTGCTAAACAAGACAATTGTTCAGTGAGGTTTGCCCCATTTTATGACCTTTCTTCCCACAGTTATTGAGCAAATCACTGCAGTTGTTAAGTTAGTCACCCAATTGTTAAGTGAATGACACTTGCCTACTGACTTTGCTTGTCAGAAGGTCACAAAAGATGATCCTGGGACACTGCAATCATCATAAATACATGCCAGTTTCCAAGAGACTGAATTTGGATCACATGGCCATGGGGATGTTGCAACGGTTCTAAGTGTGAAAATCAGTCATATGTTACTTTTTTCAGTACCATAATAATGTCAGTCACTAAATGAATGGTTGTAAGTCAAGGATTACCTGTACTATAAAAGTAAAGAGATAACTTCTCTGCTTTCTGAGCTGCATTGTTTAGTTTAGTTTAGTTTAGTTTATTGTCATTGCACTCATACAACAAAATTAAATGCAATCTTCAGTGTACATTGTAACTATAAAAATAAAACACAAACACACATCCTTCACATTCTATACAATTCAGTTGAAACCCCCTGATATTGCGTTAATATTGCACTATACAGTAGAATTCAATATAGCTAACTTGCTCTGGGATAGCTGTTTTTCAGCCTATTTGTCATTGTTTTCATTATCCTGTACCGTCTTGCAGTTGGTAATAGTTCCAAAAAAAAAAAGGGTTCCCAGGATGAGATGGATCTTTGAGAATGCTTTGGACTTTCTTAACTTCAGCGGGAGCTATAAAGCTCTTCCAAATAGGGGAGAGGGCAACCCATGATCTTCTGGGCAATGACATTAACCCTCTGGAGTGCTTTCCTATCTGCCACTGTGCAATTGGCAAACCATACAGAGGTGCAGTATGTTAAGATCCTCTCTGTGGTGCAGCGGTAGAAGGTCACCAGCAGTTTTTCATTCAGTTGTTGTTTCCTGAGAAATTTACCAGTAATTTACCAGTAAATTTCTGGTTTGAGATTGATTATTACCTATAAAGCCTTACATCATTTGGGCTAATTCTTTGCAGGACTATCTGTTTCCTGTAGTATTTGCCTGCCCTGTAGAAGACAGACCTGCTCCCAGTAATACACATGTCACCTAGAGGGACCCAGGGAGCAGGTCTGCAATGTCTGTCCCCTGAACATCGCCCCTATCCAGAGATTAGTTTGGCCTCCACCTGGCTTTTCTTCAAGTTAATATTAAAAACATGGCTCTTTCCTCAGGCCTTGGGTAACTTGCCTGGTGTATCCCTCTAATTTGGGTCTGATGTGAGAAGGGTTTTTTCACTGCTCCCTTGGACAGTTTTCCTTCTTATATAACGTTTTTCCTGTTTGGGGTTTAATGAAGCTATTCAGAGTCCTTTTGGGAGTTGGGTAGCCTGGAAATAGGATAGATAAACAAGTAAACCATGTAATTCCTGAAGAGAAGGCTGAATTGCTCCTCTCCTCCCCCACCATCCTAGCATCTTCTTGACCTTTCTAAGGGATCTAGGAAATATTAACATTTGCAGTTGTAGGGCCTGTGAATATAAATATCTCTGTCCACAAGCTGTCAGTTTTCTTTTAGAAGGCTGAATACAAATATTTAAGCCGCCCAGAAGTTATGAAGTTATGTTAAGTAGAATTTATTATTGAGCAGCTAAGAAGTCATGATGAAAAAATGCTAATAACTGCCACATGTCCAGTGCAAGTGTGGTTCATATAAAGAATGGTCAAATTCCTTGTGCCTGTTTCCCCTCTTTCTCCTCCTCCTCCTCTTCTTCTTCCTCCCTGTGGAAAGGAATTTGTGATGTTTATGTTATTTAAACATCTCTGAGAGGAAAAAACTCTTCTCTTTTGGATAACTCTTTTTGTTTTGGTAACAGCAACATCTAGACATCCAGTTGTTTATTTTTAACTGTGTAAGAACTGAATTTCACATAAGATTTCATATAACAAATGTTTACTCTAAATGAAGGGCCTTAATTCGTGGGCAATGTAGATAATCAACTCATTCTTCGTTGTAGCTCTTTTCTCTAGTTTTCATAGTTATTCCCTGGATTTGAAGGAATTCAGTTTTTATTTTAATAGTGTATTTTTGTTACTTATTGTCTTGTACATGAAGACTTCTCACATCCATATATTATTATAAAATCATTTTTGAAAGATTTTTTTAAAAAATAAAACTATTTCCTGATATTCTAAATGGAAAATAGCATAGAAGTAGTTTTATTTTTTAAAAAATCTTTCATAGTATGTTCACATTTGGATGGCTATACAGTATAATAAGTTTACATATGAAGAACGGTAGTGTACAGATTCTGCCAGATGTTTTCCTGGATGAAGTAAGCTACCTACAGAGAAAGTTATTTGAACCAACCAAAGTTTATTATGTTGGCTATCGTATTCTGTACCAGCTGCTCAGGTGTAAAGAACCATGTTTTGGAAATCAGCTTATACTATATAAGATTGATGCTTCTTTACCTTTTTAAAAACATTTTTACGAAGCTCGAGAATCTACTATTTTTTTTCTACCAGTATGTAGTTGATTTCTATCTTTGAAGACAGTTGCATTCTACACAGGTTCCAAATATAGTCTTTCTGTAACATGTGCAGAAAACAGTGACTGTTTGTTTTGAACTTTCTAGATTCAGAACTAAATCTAGTGAATATTGTTTCAAATTAACACATAGAAAATGTGTCACGTGAAAATTGAGCAAAAAGATATAACAAATCCAGAATAATATTTTTAGTTAGAGTTTTTAAAATTCAACATAATACTGAATTCATACTTTGGGTCATCTGCAATCATTTATTTTTCTTGTATAGATTATATGGTTCACCACTGAACATAGATTTATTTCCTGCTCTTATACTAGAAGATCTAGTTCCAGGAAGCAGGTTGGGACCTACACTGATGTGTCTTTTGAGCACACAGTTTAAACGTCTTCGAGATGGAGACAGGTAAGTTTGGTATAAAAACTAATCATACTACACTTTGAAGAGTTCCAGTCAGAAGATAACAACCTAAAACAGTGAGCAATCTTTCCCTTTGCAACTCACTCTATCATTTGTGAAGGGCGATTTCTTCACAAGTATGGGCACAGGAATCAGCAGCTGAGAAGTCTTAAAGTTTAGAAGTATATACTTTACTGGGTGAAGTGAATAGCAGTAGCACTTAGACTTATGTATACCGCTTCACAGTGCTTTACAGCCCTCTCTAAATGGATTACAGAGTCGGCCTATATGCTCCCCAACAATCTGAGTTCTCATTCAACTGATCTCGGAAAGATGGAAGGCCGACTCAACCTTGAGAGCTGGATCGAACTCATGGCAGTGGGCAGAATTAGCCTGCAATACTGCATTCTAATCACTATGTCACCACACAATGTATGCAGGATTTAGGATGACGAGGAAGCTTTTGCATGCAAAGCTCTTCTTGTCAAGGATTTCTTGTCATTATATTGTCATTATGGACATTGATGCTTTGCTGATTGAAAGCATGATCGAAGGCATAGTGAAGCTTTGCAGCTCATTTGAGTTGTCTGTGATGTGTTTAGATTTATTCAGATAATGCCAGAAAGCATGTGTCAACTAGAAATATAGGTACGGTTTTTTAAAATAATTTGGAACTTTTCTAAGAACTATCAGAAACAATGATGTAAAGAGAAAAAAAGTCCAGTGTAATGAGTAATCCTGCCATTAAATATAACCATACTTTAAATGTCCTGTTAACGTGAATATATTCCTTCCTTTTCTTAGTACTGAGTCCTTTTTCTGTCACACTGAATGCTGACTAAGACCTTATGTTTACTTCATGTGAGACTACAGGTTGTGGTATGAGAACCCAGGTGTGTTTAGTCCAGCTCAGTTAACTCAGATCAAGCAGTCATCCCTTGCAAGAGTTCTCTGTGACAATGGGGACAACATAACCAGAGTGCAGCGTGATGTTTTTAGAGTGGCTGAATTCCCACATGGCTATGGAAGCTGTGCTGAAGTTCCTAAAGTGGATCTCAGGATGTGGCAAGACTGCTGCGAAGGTATAGCGATGTGTATTCCGCTCCCTCTTTTTGCGTCTTCTTTGAAAACGCGAGGCTTACAGGTTTCAAGTAAAATAACATGGTGAAATGCAGGAAGTCCTCGACTTATGACAGTTTGTTTAGTGACCGTTCCAAGTTACAACGGCGCTGAAAAAAGTGGCTTTGATGACCGTTTTTTTTCCACACGACCATTGCAGCATCCTCATGGTAACATGATCAACTGACCCCTATTTATGATGGTGGCAGTCTCTGGGTCATGTGATCTCCTTTTGCGACCATCTGATGGCAAAGTCAACGAGGACACCAGATTCATTTAGCAACCAGGTTACTAACTTAATAACTGGTGATTCACTTAAGTGTGGCAAGAAAAGTTGTAAAATGGGGGAAACTCACTTAACAAAGGTCTCGCTTACCAACAGAAATTTTGCACTCAGTTGTGGTTGCAAATCGAGGACTGCCTGTACTTAAGCATCCTGTGTAGGCGAGTCTGATAAAGTTAGTTATAAAATTGTTCTTCCCATTAACTCAGGCTTCTAATCTCCATGCCCAGATCTAATTGAACGTTTCTGTCTTAGAGGAGACCTGATTTCACATCTCCTTTGAAGGTCCCTGGGAGGCCTCCTGGATGATGTGTTCTAATTCCTGTGTAAACCACTCATTGTGTGAGGTAGATGTTTCCTAGCACGAGCTGCTCATATTTTGTAAACAACACCAGTTCAATCTGAGGCAACACGTTAGTTCCCATTATCTTGCTCTTTAAGCTTCCCTGAGTTTACATTTCTGAGATGGAACCGTCTAGGGCATGGCAGATTGTATCAGCCAAAGTAGTAACGCATACCTCAAATAATCTGGCAAGAGTTGGTATAGAATTGGGCCCTTGACTTAGCAGCTAGCTTCTCAAATAAAAACTTTAAAAGCTTTTTATCTTTAAGAAATTAGAGGGCAACCAGTGAGGAGCATTGAATAGAGATAGGAAAGCAGACTATGGCTGCTTGTTAACAGACAAATGATCCAAAAATTAGTTAATATGCACAGAAATTGTCTGCCTTTATTTTCTGCCTCTCCAGGAGAAGAGATTTTAAATCCCACGTGATTTCACAACTTCTCAACATTTCTCAGGAGCCTTATTCCTAGAAAAGATTGACTAATGTTGTTGCTTACTTCACCATTAGCAAGCATTCCCCGTAATTATGAGGGAGGTCTGTTTTGATGTTTCCTGGGTGGGATAAAGTTATGGGAAATGAAACAGAATCATTGCACCAGTAAAGACACCCCTCCCCCTTTTGAACAAGGTCCGAATTAGAGGATGTGTGGACTCAATTTAAAAAGCAGCCAGGTTCCTTGAACTGGGTAAGTTTTAGAGTGCTTTAAATTTGCTAATTAGCTTGGTCTTCAGTGACTTTAGTTTGTTCTTTAGCAATTGGTAAAAACTCCTCACTATTATGAGATGAAGCAAATACAGTCTAATGTACAGCTACTTGTTATGTAATAGCCACCACTTGGTTTGAGAGTGTGTATGTGTATCTATCTATAACTATGACCATCTAATACCTATATATCTTTACCTGTGGGACTGATTGGATAGGTTGTAGGGGTGGCACCAAAATATACTTTTATAATATTTTATGTATATATATTAAATTATTGTATTTTATTCCAATTTCATTTTAAATTGTATTTTATTCCAATTTCATTTTAAATTGTATTTTATTCCAATTTCATTTTAAATTGTTTTTATCAGATTTTAGTAATATTTTGTGTCTGGAACTTTGCGCTTTGATATGGCCCAAGGGCTAATCAATAAAATAAACTGAACTCTAAACTCAACTCCTAACCCTATTGGAACAATAAATTCATGATAAAAATTGCTAACCATCATTCTAGATTATTTGTGTGTTAAAATATATTACAATACAAATTTCTGTGAACAAGCACTTCTTAGTTTGGTATAATTCAAATTCCAGTTTATTCAGTTATTCCGTATTTATGCTTGCGTTTGTAAAGTAGACAATATCTGTTTTTATTATTTCCTGTTTCTTTACTCTTAAATATTTTTCCAGGTTCTGTATTAAAGTATGATTTAAAAAAAAATATTTTGTCTTTGGAACATTTAAGCAAGTGCCAACTTAATCATAGCAACACACAGACAAACACACACAGCAACTTTTCTTCTCCATAGTATAAAACCAGAAAATGGTCTATTTCACTGTGTGATAGTTGGTTAGTATAAGCTTTGTCTTATTTTCGTCTGTAACCACTGACAATTACTCTGTGTCTTCCACTCAACATCAAGGATGTCTAACTAAGTAGGACTGTGATAAGAGGTCAAGTCTCTGCTTTCATGTCACAGATTTACCTAGTTCGATGTCCTTGATGTTTGGTCAGACTACCCAGAACAGTACTGTCAGTGGAGCATTTTGATGAATAAACCTATTAAGAGATAACAAATTTTCTCATAAAATGCTGTTTCACCAACTAAATTATCATTATTAATATCAAAGGGATCTAGAAAATACTTTGCAAAGAATCCTATGCTATCATCTTCTACAGGCTGTCTAACACCTATTCCTCATTAAATAATGCATTTATCATACACTAACCATGAAGTTTCACTGATAAAAATGGAAAGTATATATTTTAATTTTCTAATACAATATTTTCTATTGTGGAAGAAACATTATTTATTCACATCTTAATAAAGTTTGGGATCTTCTATTTAATTTCAGACTGCAGAACTAGAGGACAGTTCAATGCATTTTCTTACCACTTCCGAGGAAGGCGCTCTCTTGATTATAGTTTTCGGGAAGATAAGCCTTCAAAATATCTAAAAATTCCAAGAGCATCAAGGTATATATCACAGTTTTGTTTTCTTGCTACTTTTAACATTTATTGTACTGCTTAGGATTTATTTATTTGAAGCATAGGAACCCAAAGCATCCCAGCAAGTGTTTTTTAATCCGATCTCGGTCTAAGATTTTATTTTGATCAACTTGATTTTTTTCCTCTTCCATCATGTCAATATTGGGGAAATGTCTATAGCTTGCCAACCTGTTTGATAAGTCAAAAAATACTTCAAAAACAATTCCTAGTTAGGTGTAATATTACAACAAATTTTCAAGATTCTAATGAGAAATTCCAGGAAGTAATTTTAAAAACTGCATACTGCCCTTTTAGAAAAAGGGCAAATGCAGATTGTGGCTGCATTTTAAAATCTCCTTTTCTGGCATTCATTTTTAAACTCCATTAATTTCTGGCATTTCATTTTAAAACACCACAAAATAAAAAAGCATGTTTGGGCTATTATTTATTTCACAATTCACAAATAGGGTTTGCTTCCCAAATACAGTACAGCCTAGGATTCTGTTAATTATTCACTTAGCATTAGCTTGAATCCATTTAGGATTAGGGCTAGATAAGCAGTCTAGGGTTGACGTGTCACTTTTCTTGATTAGGCTCAACACACCAGGTCCAATAGGAGTTGTGATCTTGTGACTCCACCATTATGTGGGAGGGGGTGTGGATTTCATTATCCACTCAGGATCATGACCTGGTGATGGCTACATCCCATGGGGTTATTTACTTTGATGACATCACTGATTGCACTCATGCCAGAAGGACCGAGGGGCTTCCGGGTTGAAAGGATTAGCAGGTGACATCGCCATTGCCTGGGGACGCCCAGTTGGGAGGTTCCTTTCATGTCTCCGGTAGGAGTTGGAGCGAAGGAGAGGAGCTCACCTCATCCCATGGCAGCACTCGGGTATCAGAGGCCAACCCAGCATCCCAACCATGTGAACCATGTGCTCCCACATCACTGATTGAACAAACAGCTAAGGCATTTCAAAGTTAGTATACGGGTAGTCCTCAATTTATGACAACGTTCAAAATTTCCATTGTTTAGCAAGACAGTTGTTAAATGGTTTTTTTCCCCCATTTTGTAAGCTTTCTTGCCACAATTGTTAAGTGAATCACTGCAGTTGTTAAGTTAGCAAAAATCATCATGGCATTAACCGATTTCTTGCCACCCAGCTTCCTGACCTGTGCCCCAGGCATAGAGTTCTCCATCATTTCCAAATTTATTCCAAAAATATCAGAATTATCCAGAAGATATTTAGAGATGGCCAGCAAACGTATAATAAAAGAAAAGGACAAGGCCATTTCAACTGGATAGAAACCACTGGGTTTTTTTTTAAAGACTGGTAAAAGTCTCAGGAAGAAGTATTTATCCTGCACAATGGGGGTCTATTTCAAGGATAGAGTCTCAGAAGCAGTGAGCTGTACTAGATTCAACAGTACTCCAAGACAAAATATTTGAGTTCGTTGATAATTGAAAAAGCTTTGATGTACTTCATTAATCCTGACCAAGGTCCCGCAAGCAAGATCCCTCCCTTTCTAGCCCTTCTGTAAGATAAAGATTCTTTTCTAGTATTAAGGAGGAAGCATGGTGAGATTTACTGCTGGCAACATATTTTCTAGACTTAATAGTCTACATGCTTTCATAACATTGAAGAACCATCATCGTGTCTATTTTTTATTTGGCTTGGCTGAGCAACTACATCCAGCATATGGAACCAGAATCAATTGCCTATTAGTATGTTGGGAAAAAAAATCATTGCATGTGTTGCATGTAACACATAAACTATAGATAGATTATTCTTGTAATACATGGAACTAGTCATAATTTCATGAACAAATACAACTTACTAATTTTCTAAGCTTCGGTTGCAGTGATTTAAACTATGCTTGTACTCAAATTTCTCAACCAGCAAATTGGGTGAGATAACTCATTAAAGATATCCTGTTTGTTAACAAGCTAGACAGTCAGATTTGTTTAAATCAACGATGCCTCTTCTGCACAATATGTAACTTACTTTTCTTCTTGTTTCAGTTTTACAAGAGGGAATACATTCTTTAACGGCACTACTTCCTCCTTGGAGGAGCACAAAAAAGCCTCCACAATGAATGATTTCAAAGAATTTGTTGGAGATATGCAAAAAACAATTACAGACCTCAGAAAACAGGTAAGCATGAAAGGTTCTTCAAACAACATTAAACACTAAAATATTTTTGCAGTCAATTTAAGAGTTGAAGGGGTACTCCAACAGAGTAGGGGGGTAGCAATTTTCATTTATTCCCCATGCCACCAAAACGTGCTTGGGGCAATTTGTGGACATACTATGGATCCTTAAAGGTGGTGGCAGTGATTGTAGAATTGTGGAAAATCAGTAGAAATGTCTGTTATATCACCATCTGTTCATGAACGAATTTCAATTATAATTTGCATGATTTAGGAAAATGTGTTTGTGTAATAGACTATTGCTTAATGTTTTCATTCAAGCAAGGTATTATTGAGGTCAAATATTATTCTGGATTAGGATTTGAGATTCTCAGATTCAAGTTTACCTCACTCATGAAAACTCACTTTCTTATAACGCATTCTAACCAGTGGTAGGATTCAAAAAATTTTTCTACAGGTTCTGTGGGCGTCACTTGGTGGGCGTAGCATGGCTTGGTGGGTGTGGCTTGGTGGGCGTGGCAGGGGAAGGATACTGTAAAATCTCCATTCCCACCCGACTCCAGGGGAAAGATACCATCGGTTCTCCGAACTACTCAAAATTTCCACTACCGGTTCTCCAGAACTGGTCAGAACCTGCTGAATACCAGCTCTGACTCTAACCTACAGGTTGTGTGGGGGAAAAGTTGGAGGAAGGACTATTATATATAAACTGACTTGAATTCCTAGGAGAGACATGTCATATAAATCTAGCAAGCCTGTGATGCAGAAATTATCATTTGGTTTGAACCAGGAAAATCCAGATTCATATTAGCTTTGTAAAGCTCTGTGAGTGACCTTAGATCAGTTGCCTTCCAAACAGAAATGTGTAAAGATAAAGTTGGGGGACAAATTGCACTAAAAAAGGAGAAGAAAAAACATCCAAGAAAGTCTTTGTCTTTTCTTCCTCTTGTATTTCTGTTCTACAGTCTCCTTACACTTCGAATCCAAGATACATGTATGACATGCAGAACTGAATTTGGCCAATAGTTTTTACCTGATTAAATGTACTTATGACTGAGTTATCACTGTGTGTCTCCATCACATCCTTCTGATTCTCCTCTAACTCTTTGTTTAATTAATGGAGAAGCACAATTCTTCCCAAATCAGCCTGGTTTGAGTCTGTTCTTTCTTCTTTTTAAGGATGGAGTGATGAAACAGGCTTATATCCTAAATGACATTTTTTCCCCCCAGGCAAGGAACAGATGGAGTGAGTTATTTTTAATGCACAAAATGTCAAATAAATTACAAAGATAGCCTATGACTTTTTAGCTTCTGAATGCCTCCCTTTTCTTATTGTCGTGCAAAACAACTTTAGTGTCTCATGTATCATATGTTGCCATCTTACTGCAGAATTTCTCAGTAAAATGAACATGACATACCATGAGAATTTTGAAGGGTGTTCTATGACTTTGTTGCATTGCACCTAAAAGAAAACAGAAATCCTTTTGGCACTGATGGATAAACAACATGTCTCCTGTTCAGATAAAGAAACTTGAGTCACGGCTCAGTAGAACCGAATGTACTGATGAAAACGGCAAAGCTTATTCCAGTAATGACACATGGAAAAAAGACCCCTGCACCACATGTGAATGCAAGGTGAGTTTAACATGCTTTTAGGTACACATGTATGCATGTCTTCTTGGCCATTTGTCTCCTGGCATTTAGTGAATCTTCCTGATAAATTTGTTGAGGGCTGCAACTTTTGACGTTTATCCTCAGAAGCTTCTTTTTTGCTTGTATGAAAACGTAATTGTTATCGTAGTTTCACAGTGTTTGGGCTCTACCGCTTTGACTGCCAAGGAGACAAGCTGCTGCTGTTCAACTGACTGGATTGTCTCCTTGCCAAAGGAATTCCTGCCAGAGAATGTAGAATTGGCAAATTGGGCTTCCTGAACAATCTCAACGGCTGCTACTTTTTTTTTTTGCTTTTCTTAGAAAACTAGAGCAGGTTTCTAGCCCATTTGGCTATGAAACTAATCTTTCTCACATAGACACACACACACACACACACACACACACACACACACACACCAATAACCCAACAAAGAGATAGTTTAGCTCACAGTATTCTGTTCTGGCCTGGGGTTACCACGCACTTCAGTGCCTGGAATTTCTCTTGTCCTCTTAATGGTGAGTGAAACCAAAATAAATGGTGTTGAATCAGAATAGTCAGGCAGTTTGCAGAACTTTTACCCTATTAAATTTAACCAATCTTCAGGACAAACTAATTCTGAATTACTGCCTCTGTATTTTCTGTACCCACTTGAGTTTGTTTATTTGAAGGGGAAGTCTTGCAGTCCTGCTAGAATGACTTGGAAGTAAGTCTCATCAAACCTGGTATGACTCACTTCTAAGAAGATCCCTGTAGCAATGCACTGTGTGTCTGTTATTGCACAGTTGTATTTGAAAGTTTGAGACAATCCAGCTATGGCCTGTATAAAGCGTGTGTGTTTAGCGAGGAGGCTTCCGATCCATAAAAATTTACACATTGTGAAATGTTTTTAAAATGTCCTAGGCCTTGGAGGTACGGTAGTGTGTGTGCTTCTGCAAGAAATTAAAACAACTAGTCCCTGGAAACATTCTGGAGCCCTGACACCAAGAACATTTAATAACATAATGTTATATCTAGGGACTTGATAATGTAAATATTTCAACTTAGGAGATTAATGTTCATTTTGTTTTGGTGGGGAGCTGCCAAATATATATATGTGGCCGGGTTCAGAATTTCATCATGCAGCATTTGGTGTTTCCATTCATTAAAACTTGGGAAACCCCTCCTGGTTCAGAGCAAAGGCCCATGGAATTAAATAATTTGACTCACTTCCAAAGGCATTGAAAAAAAATCTAAGCATAAGAGCATGAAAATCCTTAGACAAAAGTGCAAAATGCGTTCTTAACAGATTCCTGACTTTTATAAAACCATGAAGCACTGAATGGAAAATGCCTCTACAAGATTCTCTGCCTGTCTTGTCTGGAGATGGCTAAGCAGTCATTGAACAAGCTTGCTTATTAATGTTTGTTAGGGTTATAGTTTTATTATCATTGTTACTTCAGTGTATACCTTATCTTCCTGGATAATAGCATTTAAGGAACAGAGATCTCCATGATATATAAATGGAATGAGATCTCTTCGTCTTTAAAGATTCTCTTTGATCCAAAAATTGATTAATTTCAAGAAAACAAGTGACCCAGTCTAGTTACGAACAATTACATATGCAAGGATGTTTTCCAGTATATCAAGCAACATGAAGCTTTCTCCATCTTGTTTGTCCATTGATTTGTGCATAGATATTTTCATTCAGAATCCAGCAAGCAACTTAATGTTAAAATATTTACATAGCCTATACTATATTAGCAATACAGGCCCAAATCCCAAATCTATGTTGTTCAGCAATGCACGTGTTCATCTTATCCTTTCTTCTTTTTTTTTAAGTAACTAAACTGTCACTCTACCTTTTCAAATGCAGGTTGGTCAGGTCACCTGTTATGTGGAATCGTGTCCATCACTTGATTGTGCTACACCTGTGAAGCTGAAGGGCATTTGCTGTCCCGTGTGCCTAAAACAAACTGTTAGCAAGGGAAATGCACCCTAAGTCCCAATTGTCACATGTCAAGTTATATTGATATCTGCTGATGGCAAATGCAGGTAACAGTAGGCTTTAAACCACAATAGAGAACCAAGATGTTAAAATAGCATTCAGATGATGGGGTAACAGTGTAAGAAAATCTATTTTACTTCCTTATCCATTGGAAAACTACAAGGTGAAAAGTATCGAAAGGGAATACACAGTGTTAGTCAAGATAATTTTATGTTGAAACTTCTCAGGTTCAAGAGACTAAAAACTGGTGCTATTTTTTTTAAAGCATTTGTTTAGTTTTTTTTAGGATCCCAGATTGATTTTTCTTTCTTTGTACACTGGTAGGAAATCAGGTGCCATTGGAGGAAATAAGGTCCACATAACATAATGCCTGGGTTTACATACTGTATTATGTGGTTCTGTAAACCATGGCTTACTGCTAGGTGTATTTACATCCATTATAGCTCAGTGAATGCACCATGGTAAAATCATGGCTTAGTGCAATATATGAACACAGATATTGCCTGCATTCATATATCATTCCACTGATACTTGACCATGTCATACTGAATAAACCACAATTGGTTGAATTCTTCCATGCCTGGGCTACAGAACTCTGGAATATCACTAGATGACAGCAAAGGATGTATGAGAAAATAATATCTGGATTTTTGGATTCCAGTTCTGGGGCACTGAATAATATGCTAAACTATAAACTAAGTTTTTCAAAGACCAGGGTGACTGGTTTCACATAATTCAGTAACCAGAACTAAACAAACCAAAGCAAATGTTTTAGTATGATACAACCACTAGGTCAGACCTGAAAGATACAGGTATTTGACAACAAGTTATTCGTGCCAGAATATCATTACCACAATAACACAATCGTACTTTATCTTGCAGTATTAATTCTAATTGAGTCTAAGAATAAAAAAGAATCTTAATTTTGGCATCTAGTTTTAACACTATCTGATGCCTGCATCTATCATAATTAAACTCCCAGTATAATACAATGTTTCCCAAGTTTGCAAACTTCCATGTTTTTATGGATTTCAGTGCTGGAATTCCTTGGCCAGCCTGGCCTTTGCTGATCATTCTTGGAGAGGAAGTCCAGACCAATGGAAGTTGACAGGCTTGGAAAATTCAGATAAAATATTCATAAGTTTGTGGTACATCAAGCTTCTGACTCCCCACCATGCCGTACTAGGGGAATGGCTATAACATAAGCATCAATAACATAATTCACAAATCTATGTATGCATGAGAAAAAAAGATACTGATGGAAAATAAAAATCATATCACATTTTCGCACTTTTAGCCTTTTGAAAAAAATATGTACTTCTTGGTTTAAAGGGCAATTGCTCAGCTGCTTTACATTTTTTCACCTGTGTTATTTTTCCCTGCTTATTTTGATTCTTGTCTTAGTTGAGATGTGTAGGCTTTCTGTACTTCCATTCCCTATCTAAATTCATCTTTCTTATGGATAGTACTGCAAACTTGCTTAAGTGATCCAAGAAATCTGCCACATCAGAATTTAATTTAAAGATGTGAAATAATCCCAGAATTCAAATCTGTCTGAGAACTCTAATCCTTATGATATGTATATTGTCTGTATTCATTCAATGATAATATTTGACATTGCCCATTATTATAATATCTTCCAAGGCTGAGCCTCCTATTGAAAAAGGATGTGAGGATTGTTTCTTGGTGACTCATGCTTCATATTAATTCATAAATATTCATAAATATTCAGCATCTGCTGTTTTAGGCATCCATTATTCATTATTGATTTGCTAACAAGCATATATGTACTCTTACTTCCCTACTTTATATCTTATCCAAATAACCCATATTTGTGCTGAAAAATAAACCATTATGGAAGACTCCTTTATTATAGTAAACCTTAGGCACAGAATGATGGCTGAAGGGGTAGGAGGCATTATGCTTTTCTGGAAAATATGTAATAGTAGAGAAATTAATCAAACAGGAGTTAAGAACCATCTTGGGAATATTATGTTTGCATATGCCACAATCATTTTTGAACTTTATTATCTCTTCTAGCACCTTTCTGACATGTAACATACTTTCACTGCTAAGTGATTCTGACATCCCAGAATCTATTTTTCCTAATAGATTAGGGCTACCAGTTCAGCATTTCTTTGCTGCCATTTAGTGATTATCTGGATTCTAGGATCCCAGATCTGGTAGTCTTAAATATATCCTCTTACAAAATGCTCCAAGACAGTGGTTTTCAAACTTGGCAAATGTAGGATGTGTGGACTTCAACTTCCAGAATTCACTAATAAGCATGAATTACCCTCATCTTAACATGGTCAAGATTCAAAACATTGTCACAGAGCAGTGATGCATTAATCAATTATTCCAGAATTTATCTAAGTCAGGTTCAACAAAATTGCTCTTTGCATGACCTGGATCCTACTACAGTTTTAGATACAGATACAGCTATAGATGTAGATAACAGCATTTTTCGGCCTGAGTACCAGGAAGGTTTAAACTATGATTCTGCAATGTGCTTTTCCCCTGATTTGCTAACTCAGAAAATACCTTGAAAATGTGAACATAAAAGCCCCAGTAGATGAGGGTTTCAGGAAAAGATGGTTTGCTATGGATACAAACATCACACTGGTTAAGTGTACAGTTTTCCAGGAAAAGACATCCTCAAAATTACATCTGCCTTCTGACCAGAATTATTATGTAGCCTGAAAACAAATTGTCATGCATTCATCGGTATGTAAAAGGCACCAGCCTTTAATGAAAATGCTGCTAAAGCTCCTCTAAAATATTTTGGGAACAAATGAGATGTACTAAAGCAGTGTGCATAGAACAGCACCTAAACTTTATTGATCCTAGATGGATTGTTGAATGGTTTTGAAATAAAATCTATTAGTATGAAGGAATAAAATATTTCAAAATCTTTGGTTACATGGCACCTGTTTTCCCTACTTAGTACTTGTGTCAAAATCATGCTAAACATTACTGTTTGTGAATCTGTATGCCCAGATATGTGTTTTCAGGACTGCTGTTATTATGTCTATATTAATATACCACCATTTACCTTTATTTACAATATTGCCTTTTTTATAACAAGCATGTATTATTACAGTCAGAGAAGAAAAGCTCTCATACCTCATTTGACCGATGTGTTTGTCTTCATGACTGGTTCTTCAATTCATGATGCAAATCATGAATTTGTAGAATTTAGCCATCTCCTGAAGTGACAGTTTTCAGGGGTGAAAATAATACCATATAGTTTCAAAAATAGAAATTAACCATGGAATTTGTTTAGTAAGTATTCTGCCAGCATCTGTTTGTAGCTGTTTTAAGAACGTATTTTGGGAATACATAGTAATTGACAAACAAATTTTACAGAACTGTTTAAATAGTACAATCTTAAACATCTTTATTTAAAAATAAGCCCAAACTCAGTAGGAGTTATAACCAGATAAACAGGTACAGGGTGGAACTCAAAATTCCTAGATAAAAGATTTGACTTTGATGCCAATGAAGTGAAGACATACTTCAAAAATTGTACTTTATTTTAAGATTACCTCTTAGGCCTTTCAGTACCTCAGTAAATTCTGTATTTTCACAGTCCAGATCACATTTTTCCTATAGGGATTTTCTCTAGAAATATTTCATATTTGGGCAAATTAACAAATTTTCATAGATAACCATAATTGAAGCATGTTCCTGCAGACAGAAAACAAGTTGAAATCTTAACAATTATTAATGACCATTTATTTTGGTGCTGCAGTTACACTAAAAAAAAAAAACCTGCTCAGGTATTTTGCAAATCTATTCAAAGTAAGTCATACTAAATGTTGGGGGGGGGTGTCTATACCCAAATAAAAAGGTATAGGATTGCACCGTGGTAACTGAAGAGTATGTTTTCCAAGAATCCATAACCAAAGAACTCTGGCTTCCTATATTGAAATAAAACAAATATTTTATCAGTAGGCTATCAGATCTCCATGCAAAAATCTAGTAAGTCATTGAAGAGAAGGTTTGCAGCCCATTTCTGTTAACACTATAATCAATATTGTTCAAATAGTATGTAAAATGATGTAACTTCCAGCATTTATAGCTAAACAAATAGCAGGAAATGATTGGTGTTAAAACAGATTAGGAAATAGACCTAATTCTGTAATTATCACGTAAATCAAATATTATAAAATGATTTTTTTTTAACATTTTTTGCCAATTAAAAATTCATGTAGCATTTTTGAGACAGTGGCCGATGGCTGAATGATCATTTTTCTCAGTATTTTGTTGGTGGCAATTGTTCCATATTTATTTACTTTGTTAAAATTCCTACCAAAAATAAAATTTTTACTTACTTTCTTGTACTTAATAAATCTACCAAAGAACTGTTTGCACTGTTATGAATGCTTTTCATTTACAATAAACAGGTCACGTTTTTTTAAGTTGGTGTCATGATACATTATTTCAAATGATTTAATCATACCATGAGCTGCACTAGTGAAATATGTAGACAGTAACAGAAGCATCGTGGGGAATTCAAATGTCAGGTGTTGCTAACACCATCCAACCTAATCTTTTCTAAATACTGCCCTTATCTACTGTCTGTAAAAAGAACTTACAACCTCAGGGGAATGCGAACTACCAGGTTGAGAACAGAAAGATGGATCACTAGGAGAAAAAATCTTTTCTGAAACTGAGGCCATTTCCAGAAGTTGCTAGTATAACATTTACATAGCCACACAATTACAGTTTCGGCTAGCAGTGTTTGCAGCAAGCCACAGAGACACCAAAACCACAACACTTGACACAATGATAAAGGTAAAGGTTTCTCCTGTATATCTGGGTCTGGCTTTAGGAGGCAGTGTTCATTTCTGTTTCTTGGCTGAGAGCCAGTGTTGTTGGAAGGCAATTTCTGTGGTCATCTGGCCAGCATGACTATAGGCCAAAGGTGCACGGAATGCTGTTACCTTCCCACCAATGTGGTACCTATTTATCTACTCACACTTGCATGCTTTTGAACTGCTTAGGCAGGCAGGGCCTGGGGCAAGGAACAGGAGCTCACCCCATTGCACAGCACACGGTTCTCGAACCAGGCTGTCAGGTTTCCAGCTGATAAGCTCAGCGTCTTTAATTGCTGAGCCATTGCTCCTCCCTCAATATGATACCATTGCACAAATGCCACCATTGCATAACTTGTGTTCTGACATCTGACATGTGTGCGTACGTTGCAACAGTTGTGTGGTGCATATATAATTTGCCCTCCCTTCCCATCTCCAAGCACCCATGCTTGTGAGCTGTTGTAGTGAGACTCTACTTTCTAGTTTCAAGATATATATGTAAATATAGCTTGAGGCACATTTTCCTGATCAGCTGCCAGGTTATGTGAAAGGATAAGTCTTTATTCCGTGGGCTCTTTGCCATCTTTCTGATTGTGGACTCCTGCTTGAGTGACTGTCTTGGCCTATGGGTGCTCTTCTATGGGTCTTCATCTATGGGCGTGCCCATATTGTTTCTCCACAGAGCAATTTGCCAAGGTTTTTTCCCCCTTTTATCTTCCCACTCTAGCCTAAGAAGTTCACAACCTTAGTTTTTCATGTGGGTTTCTCATCCAAATATTAAGAAGGGCTAGGATTAATATTTGTATTAACCTTGAGAAGATGAGATAGAAAAAGTTGGTCAGATTGTGGTTTTACAAGAGTTCTTTAAGATCTAACAGTAAATAATTACTACATGCACAATCAGTCAGCTTCATCTCAATTTAGAAACTATAAAAGCAGATTATCTTTGCTAGCTGGTGGCTGTGCGATTTCATTTCACATTCCAAATGTGGACTATCTTCCCATTTTTTAGATTTTCAACTAATTTATTACAAAGTTCTGGTGAGCCAGTTGTTTTGCACCATTTCGCAAATCAGAAATTAGGACTGTTTTGAAATTACTGAACACCTCTTAGATGTTATGGCGAAAGACAAGTATCTGCCCTGTTTTGTTTGTCTCTAGGTTAGTTAAAATGAGTAACTCTTTCCCTTTCTTTCCTTCCTGTTTTCTTAAGAACTCAAGGTAATAAGCACCAGAATTTATCTTGATTTTTTTACCCTTAAAACAAGCAGTGGAGTCGGTTGCACATAGACAATCAACCAGTGACTTTTTTTTAAGTAGATTGTTTGCTGTATGTGTTGGGATTTGCTATAGATCTGGCAAAAAAAAAAAAAAGCTTCAAAGCTCCACTTCTGGTTACCTTTAGGATCTGCTGTGACCTTTGGGTATCACTGCTTTTGTTTGTTTTCTTAGCTTCTAAGCTTTCCAAAAAAGAACCTGGTTATTATCATCTATCTTGCAGTTCAACATGCTGTCTTTTTCAAGAGCCACCCCTAGAAATTCATGTTTCCCTCAAACTACAAAAAATACTAACTACTAATTTTAAATACTTGTGTTAGACTTCAGAACAGTTCTCCCAGGAGCTTACAACTCTAAACTTTTTTTCCATTAAAACTGTAAAAATACAGGTAGCAGAACCTGAATATATAAGTATTACATATCATAGGATTAGTCCCTCTGCAAGGGATGGTTCAAAAAAATCAATTCCACAGAAAGACTAAAACTACTTTTATTAAGATAGACTATCACTACAGATTATTGCAAGTTTTATTTAATTTAGTAAATTAGGGAGGTACTTCTGAAATTATTGCTCTGGACTTGGAAAAAAATATTTCAGCCACTTTTGCCTTGGTAACAGTTTCTGCACGCCACTGCCAAGGTCACGCTCCATACTTTCTTCAACCAGTTAACCCAATAATTATGGCCAAAGGCTTGAGAGAAATCCATTTGTCCAGGGGGTGAATAAGATGTCAGATTGGCCCCAAAACTCTGGAAAGAAAGCGTGTATTGTTTCTGGTACATATTTGGATGCCTTTCCAAATTTGACCAATGGTGGATGTCCTTCCGTGGCTTGTTCTTTGGTTGAGGTGTTCTGCAGGAATACAGTTGTCCTATCATTCCTCTTCCTGCAGATCTGGAGGGAGATTCCCAAAAGCAGAATTTTTCTTGTTATTATCCTCTCGCATGCTGAGTTCCCTCAGATGTATTTCATTTTAATGTGGGGCGAACCTGGAACATTACTCATGTGGGTGTCTGGGGAATAAATGCTAGCTAAAAGCCATTAAATTATAGAATTGGAGAACACAGAGTCATGGTTTATGCTCACCTTTCAGCTAGGTTATTAGCTTAAGCAGAACCCCACCTTCAAACAGAAAGACTCCATTTTGAATACATTTATGCATTCGGAGCTCTATGTCGAGCGACCAAAACATCATGTTTATATCTTAATTCTTTGATGCTTAATTCCCAAAAGATTTACTGATTCCAATCGTGGTAGCTTATTGTTTGAAATGCTTGGCTTAAAGAAAAAAGGGGAGGGGGGGAGATTTAAAGCACTGTACATGCCATTGCGGAGGAAAATAGTTTATTTTCTTTTGAGGAAGTAAGAGCAGGCTTTCTTCTTACTTAAAGAGTACTTACTTTTCTGCCAAAGCAGAAAGCGTGAAACAGAAAACAAAGGAGAGTTGACAGAATTCATTTTTATATTATTTATTTTAAAAATTGGCTGCTCATCTTAAGCAACTCTGGACGGCTTATTTGTTTATTGGTTTAAAAGATTTATGAGGCTGCCATCTTACTGAGGATGTTTCATTCCTACTGCAGCCTGGGGGTATTTTAAAAGGCAACGGAAGGCATCACTGCAGTGAGTGAAAGGTCAAGGAAGTTTAGGCCAAGGAAAGAAAATGTAGGGAAATGGGGCTTTCTAGGAAAACACAAGAAACATTCATTTAACAGCTTCCCACACAGTGGCTCATTCCTTACATTGGGAGGTTTATATTACCTGAATTAATACACCACCATCCATGTAAGCAATAAACAATAAACCAAGAGATTGGACAAAAATTTGTTCAAAATGGTATAGGGCTTCCTGCTCAAGGAGGCAATTTGACTAGAAGACTTCTAAGGTCCCTTCCAAGGCTCTTATTTTATGCTCCGTTCTTTCCTGCTAATGTAATAATACTTTTTTTTTTTACCCCTTCCAGAATTTGGTGAAGGTGACAAGATTAACTAAGAGAAGGAAGAGGAGGAGATTGGCTAATTGACTTGTTCTGGTACTGTAGTTAGAGGGAAGGGAAGGAATGAGGGAGAGATGAGAGAGAGATGAGAGAAATGAGAGAGAGAAAGAGAAAGAGATGAGAGAGAGAAAAATGAGAGAAAGAAAGATGAGAGAGAGAGGGAGAAAGAAAGATGTGTGAGAGAGATATGAAAGAAATGAGAGAAAGAGCTAAGAGAGAAATGAGAAAGAAAGATGAGAGAAATGAGAGAGAGAAAGAAGAGAGAGATCTGCACAAAATAAGAAAGTAAATATTATTTACTTATTGACCATCCTTGTAGATCAACCCTCTGCTACTTTCTGTCCCATTGACTGCCTCCGAGTCATCTCCAAAAGCAACCCCATGTGTTACACTGTGGAGAGTAATCTCGGGTAATCCGCAGGGGCTGTCAACAGAATGGGGAATCATCTGAAAGTAAGCAACGCAAAGCAGATCCTGGGGAGTGCTGGGCCGGGCAATTGTGTTCTTCCCCAAGGCTTGTGCACCTGAGGAATAGTGAGAGCTGATCTTTTTGAGAGGAAAAGATGGCACTAGTTGTGAAGTTGAGGCCTAGACTCCACGCTGCTGCCAATGCCAGTGTTCAAGGTGGCCTAGATTGTGGAAGAGGACATAATTGTTTCTCTTTTGTGTGCGCGTGACAACCAGCAGACTCAAATTTTGGGGTCCTTGATGCTCTCTGACTCTGAGCTTGGTTGTTTGCTAGCAAATGTTTTATTACCAAACCAGGTAACCTCATCAGCACTGATGTTACCTAGTTGGGTAATGAAACATCTTCGAGAAAACCCCCAAGCTCAGAGAATGCTTAGGAACCTGCAATTCAACCCTGAGCTACACATATTCTCTTCTATCATAGTCAGATTCAGAAGTAGTATTCAGCAGGTTCTGACAAGTTCTGGAGAACCGGTAGCGGAAATTTTGAGTAGTTCGGGGAATCGGCCAATACCACCTCTGACTGGGCCCACCCCATCTATTCTCTGTCTCCTGAGTCCCAGCTGATTGGCTGGGTCTTCTTTGGTTGCCCTGCACAGGAGAACAGACCTGGAAAGCAGGTTAGTGGGGAGGGAAGGGAATGGGGATTTTACAGTATCCTTCCCCTGCCACACCCACCAAGCCACACCGGACCAAGTCATGCCCACAGAACCGGTAGTAAAATAATTTGAATCCCACCACTGGTCA